ATTGATCGAAGCTCTAAAAGACATTGGCCATGGACGGCAGAGATGTTCAAATAATTGCAAATTTAGATTGGAATCAAACATCAGTTTTGGTAGATGGTGTGGAATCACAAGCTCTCAATATTAAAAGAGGAGTACGGCAGGGATGCCTCTTGTCACCCCTGCTTTTTACTTTGTTTACTCCGAAAGAATTTTCAGAAAAGCACTTTCTGAAAAACAAGAAGGAATACTTGTGAACGGCGAAGTCATCAATAATTTGCGATATGCGGACGATACAGTACTCCTAGCTTCTAGTCAAGAAGATCTGCAAACACTACTTGATAGTGTCGTTGAGAGTTGTAGGGAGGCAGGTCTGGATCGGATCTTAACATAAGGAAAACCAAAATACTTGTAATAAGTAAACAACAGAATATAAAACCGTCTATATATGTAAATAATACCAAACTTGAGCAAGTTGATAAAATCTTCTACCTTGGACAGCAATTAAATTGTAATGCAGAAAATCACGACGAAATTAGATCCAGAATAGAGCAGGCTAGAGCTGCTTTTAGAAGGATGTCCAAGGTGTTATGTAACAGAGACCTAAAATTGGCATTAAGGATCTGTCTACTTCGCTGCTACGTGTTCTCGGTCTTACTTTATGCTGTCGAGTCCTGGACTGTGAATAAAATCGATCTAAATCGCCTTGAGGCTTTCGAAATGTGGTGCTATAGAAGAATTTTAAAAGTTTCCTGGGTGGAGAAGATTCGTAACTCCACAATACTTGAACGTCTCAGCAAGACCACTGAGATCATAAAAAGCATCAAGCATCTGCTACAAAATATCATGCAAGGAAAAATAGCAGGCAAACGCAGTCCAGGACGAAGAAGAACCTTATGGTTGAAGAACTTGCGAGATTGGTATGGTGTAGATACAAGCATGCTATTTAGGGTGGCAGTGAATAAAATTAAAATAGCTATGATGGTAACCAACGTTCTGAAAGGACATGGTACATGAAGAAGAAGAACTTGTCTCTTCGACGACTAGGCAGCCTTCACCCCTACTGGATAGAACGACTGTCTTTGATGACTAAGCAGTCTTCATCCTTACTGGATGGAATGATTGTCTTTGATGACTGAGCAGCCTCCACTCTTATTGGATGGAATGACTCTCTGTTAATGGGCTAATTATACAGGGAGAATTAAAACATGAAACATGGACGACGAAAAAACAAAATAAGAGCCGATTGAGCATCGCAGAAAGAATAATTATTAGAGAAATATATAAACCTGTTATCGATGATATTACAAATCAATACAGAGTGCGAAACAACCGCGAACTAATTGATTATTATGACCAACTAGATAAAGGAAAAACATAAATAACATCTTATACGTAATACCTTGTAAAAATAATATTATACATTTTTAAGAACGAACTCCTATTTGAACATTGAAGCGTCAAATAAAATATGTAGTACATAATAAATATTGTGGCATATTTCTTTCATTCTATCCAAAAAATTTAAAAAAAATAAAGTGAGACATATTGAGATGGATTACTGAATACTATTATAGCATACAAGTAGTTTGAGCTACCGGATATTTAAATACATTAAAACTTGGTGTGAACATTTTGGTTAAAAGAATAAATTTGATTTTTATATTACACATGTAGTTGACGTTTCTATCTCCAAATTCTTTTTTAGAGTTCTTTTCTAGACACGTACTAAACAAATTTTGTTTATATTGCAGTTTCTTCTTTTAGTAGATTTAATAGTGATATGAGGATATCAGTTTGCTACATATACATAAAATACAAATAGACTGACTGTTGCAATACAGGTCCGTTTCCTCAGTGCGACAGAGAAAACTGGCGAAAAGCAGTCCCTGCATCTCTTTCTAATTTACCAGGTTTATCGAACGCGTGACCTAAATGACCAATGAGAAGGTCACGTGGTCAATAAACCTGTCCCATTAGAAAAAGATACAGATATTGCTTTTCGTCAGTTTTCTCTGTCGCATTGCGGAAACGTGAATGTATGGCAGTATTCAGTCTATTTGTACTATATGTCTATGGTTTGCTACATGAATTTTCGCTTTTATCTTTTATGTGACAAAGTTATCAGCGATATCTAAATAGCTCCAATCCTTCAAAAGTATATGGTTTTATTGTTACATTAATGCTCCATTCTATATCATACCTTTTGTCTGTTAATGAACTTTTATTTGGTTTTCTTGTTATTGACTATAACACCGTTTTTTTTTACGCTAAAATCATTATTTAATATATTATAATGTGTAATTTCTCTGGCTGCTGACGAACAGAAGTTTTTATTAACTTTTCTTTAATATAATTATGTATGCAGATTTGTATTTTGATCTTCTCACGGTGCTAAAAAGCAAATCTAATAGTTTATTGTATTTTTCCATAAGATTTCTAGTTTTTCACTGTGTTATGGCTTCTCTTATTTCTTTTCCTACGATTTACATTAATTCATTTAATTATTATTTCTGAAATTTCAAGTTTATACACAGTTTCTTTTGTTCCGCTTATTTATCTAAGATATGTTATTCATTCTTATCTATCTATCTATCTATATAAGGATTTTTACAGCTGTCGCCGCCTTCCTTCTTTCAGCCAACGTCTCCAGTCCCCTCTGTTCTGCCATTCTCCATCTCTAAGGTCTCGTTTTTCCATGGCCTCGTCCACTTCATCCCTCCATGATTTTCGGGGTCTACCTCTTTTTCTCCTTCCTATTGGGCTCCAATCCGAAATCCTTGCTATCCACCTTGTATGATCTGTTCATTCTTATCTATAGATGTGCTTATTCCCTATCAATTATCTATCAATATTTGAAGTCTTTTTTTATTTGTTTTAGTCATTGTAATGATTCGCATCCGTACATAAAAATAGGTCTAAAGCTTGTATTATGCTCTAAACTCCTTCAGTGGTAGTATTACCAACTGCGATTATTGTTCTAAGATATTTAATGTCTTCCATACTTTCGAAATTGAAATTGTTGACTTTAATGTTGTATCTAGATTTACTGACGGTCTCTTATGTTTATCCGCTGGTATTTGGTTTTCACTTCGTTGATTTTACTTGAAACTTTTTTCGTGCTCTCTGGACTTTGTTCAGTATGTCGTTTACATATTTATAGATGTAATCATCAGCATAACTAGGAGCTGCTTTGTACCTTGGGCCGTTAATGGATTACATCGTAAATCGGCGCTGTTTCTATTTTAATAAATTGTTCTTTAAGTTTTTGACTATTTAAATCGAGAATCTGTATTTTATTCGACTGTTTATTAAGGCAGAGTTTCTTGGGGCCAATTTCTCTCTCAAGGTTTTTGTTTCCCGTATCAATATTACAACAATTTTGCTGGATGCCGACATAGGAAACCCGTTGGTATGTACATACTGTTTCGATATCTTCTTGTCTCGTTATAAAGTGAATATTAGTTTATTAGGAAATATGATATTGTCTAATAATAGTTAAGTTGTTTTGCTTCGCTTTCTCAGACTGCTACCGTCGTACCTTCTGGTATTTGATATTTCAACCGTCAAGCAACAATTCCTATATGCATTAACTTAATGCTGATATCCTGCTTCCCCAATTCAGTTAGCAGTCCCGAAACCAATAAAATTGCTTCATTCAAGTTTTCTATTAAGCTGCCCAGAACTATAGGTACGCCTTATTATCTTACTGATGTTAGTGCTGCCCCTTATAAGTGAATAAAATATGAAAGGAAGGTTTTGGTAATATAATAAGATCCTTGTGTTACAATATAATGTCTCCGAGAAAGTAAATTAATATCAAAAAGCTATTCGGATTTAATCCATAGCTAAAATATTAGAATGCTATAAAATAATGCTATATATTAGCATTAATAAGTTTATAATGGATACTAAAGTTTGAAAATAATTAGAGCAAGTAATTTAAATTATCAAAGTGCTTATTAAACATAAAAATAAAATAAAATTATATTAACAATTTATATTATAATATATTTAAAAACAGTAGCCAAATATTCTTGGAATTCTTCGATGACTAACCTGGTGGATATTTAAATAAATTTTAAGTTCTAAAATGTACCTGCTCTAAAATTTGAAAATCTACGACTAATACAACTACTGGCAACATCGCAGGAGCTTAGTTGTGTACGCTAAAAGCTGTATACGGATCCCAAAAATGTTTTATCCAGTTACGGAGTCCACTTGATCCGACGTGTTGGTCGGAGTCTACATAAAGCGCTACTCAGATAATAATATACACGGCGTATATTCTCCTGGAGTTAGTATAATACCGTTTTAGTACGGAGCCCACATTAACCGCTAGAAGTATATATATATATATATATATATATATATATATATATATATATCCGAGTTAAGTAGATGCCTATACGAGCATCAATGGCTTAAATGCAACTGACGTTTTAGTAGGTATCCAAGCCATAAAAATGAAAAGTAATAAAAATCACTTTGAAATGATGGCATCTCCTGAGATAAAATATTCCAGAAGCAAACTGAGCCTCTGTCTGCATTTAATAGATGCGGTGAAAAGAAAGAGAATAAAAACTGCTTCTTGCATTAAAAACACTAGTTAGAAAGGAGAAAGGGCGAAATAACTTGGTGAAGGATACAAATTGTGGTATGTAGAGAACAGTAACACTAGGAATGGAGTAAGTATAATTGCTGATGGTAAAATAAAAGATAACGTAGTATAAGTTGTCAGAACGAGTAATGGAATATTGTCAGTCTTTACCATATGTTCCAATTTTCCTCCCAACCCATTCCATGTGTTCTTTTTTTGTTTGGTTTGCCATTCCTTTGTTTTCTGTATCCTTTGGAACTATTTCAGCTTTCTTTTTGTATCATGAGCATCCTATTTCTGTTTTTTTTTGTATTCAAGTATTTATAAACAGTGGCGCCCATTATTTTGTGAACCATTGGTTTTTTCTTGTTTGACAAGTGTTTCTGTAAAATATATTTATGTATGTATAGATTGTTATACTTACCATGGTTGCAGGCACAAACGTTGGTATCGTTTCAAAATAACCAAGAGTGGAAGTATAGGACCGAAGAAGAAAATAAACAGCCAAAAATAAAGCTCCCAGAATTGTGGATAATCCTCCGCAGGCACAGCACCAGAAGACATATTTTCTGATACCCCCTCCACCGCCATGATTTGCTAAAAAATACACAAATATACATCTCTGTTATACAAATAAAAAGGTATTTTTTGTGGTGGTAATTGTACTAACTCACTTAATGGATTACAAAATTTATCTGCAGGGGTTATGACATAAATAGTATAAGTAATATTGTTTCTTAATAAATATTATCTTACAGTAGTTTATTTTTGAATAATATTGACCATATTGGTCATATTCCATCCCACAAAGGACCCCGGCACTTTTCTCATGTAAAAATGGTTTCAGTTAAATTGACTGAACTGGCTATATGCCAATAAGCCTTCAAAATCATATTTTTCAATGATAAAATAAAAATGCCAAACAGTATATTTTTTCACACTAATTTGGAAATAAGGGTAATGATTGATCACACCTTAATAGATTCAAGGCATGGAACAGACTTAATAAACTGCAGAAATTATAGATTCGAAAACATAGATTCAGATTATTGTCTAGTGTTCTCAACATTGAGGGCTAGAATTTCAAATACTAGTAAAGAAACTAAAATGGATACTAAAAAATGGAGTGTGCAAAAGCTAAGAGATGCGACAATTGCAGAACGTTACTTGGATCACCAACAGGCTAAGGAATCAAAATGTACATGAAGAATGTCAGACAGATATAGACTCCTACTGGACCAGAATAAAAGAAGACATTGAAGCAGCAGCGAAAGAGGAAATAGGAACAGAAATTTGTGCCCGTAGAAATCATTGGTTTGACGATGAATTCAAGAATGCAATAAAAGAAAAAATAAAGCCTACAGAAGAATGCCTACCCGACGAACTAGAACAACTGTAGAGAATTACCAGACAAAGACAAGAGAAGAAAAGAGAATATACAAAAGAAAAAAAACGAAACCACGTAAATGAGGAACTTAAATATATCGAAAACCTTAACAGAGAAAAAGAGTTTAGAGCATTCTATACGAAAGTTTATATCAACAAAAAAGAATTCAAAGCAACTACAAGACAATGCAGAAGTCAGAATGGCGACCTATTAACAACAAGGAAAGATGTATTGAATAGCAGCGTTATATAACTACCCTACGAACTACCTGGGCCCATTAATCCCAAATACCTTTGTAAGTTAAATTTGATTATAGTTGAAAGTAAGAATATAAATATTTTCAGTTATTGACTTCAGTTGCAAGTATTACGGTATAGATTTGTCCGTTAGTGTTTAACTGGGAGAACTTTTATTAATAATTAATGAATATAAATATTCAGAGGCCCATGTCTCCAAAGATGGAAAAGTTAGATGGCTATGCATCAAAAAAGGGTATCAACAAAAAGTGTACACAAAGGAAGGTGATTAAAATTACGTTATTCTTGAAAAAGCATCGGTGGAGCATAATCATGCTCCAGATATCCACACTGACCGGCCAATTTTTAGTAATTCTACAAAGAGGAAAGCTGTAGATGATATATGTGAAAGACCGTTAAAGATTGTCAACAAGGAATTACGGAAGGAAAATTTCAGCAATTTACCGCTGAGCACGAAAGACATTTCTTGCGTTCAAAGAAATATCTATGCTGCAAGACGAAAATCCACACCATGTATGCCCAAGTAACAGGAAGAAGTTCTGTTAGTGAACTTAAATTTAAAAACAAATACAGGTGAAAACTTTTTATTATCTACGACAAATAATTCCGCAATTTTTAGTTATTTCACAAATCTTTACTTTTTGTGTAATGTAGATTCTTTGTATGTAGATGGAACTTTTCAATACTGTTCTAAATATTTTTGTCAGAAGTTTACTATACATGGCTACAAAAGTGGTTTTTATGTTCCTCTAGTATTTTGTTTGTTAACAAATAAACCACAGCAATCGTACAAAAGTACTTTGGTACATTAATAACAATATGTACAGATTTGAATTTAAATTTGAAACCGAAGCGAATAATTTCTGATTTTGAAATAGCAATTCAAAATGCAGCCAAGTCAGTGTCGCCCGACATTATTATATTTTGTTGCAAATTTCATTTAACACAAAATTGGTACCGAAAAATTCAAAATTTAGGTTTGTCCTGGAATATAAAAATTAAACTGTTATTGGAAAATATTTAAAATTGTTTTTCGACATTCCTTATTTAGATCCAAAGGATGTTGTTGACTTCAAATCTCACGCAGGAAATGGTTAGAATATGTTTGTGTATAAGTATTGTACATCAAAAAACCTTTCAGTATCCTGGCTTTTTGATTGTCATGCACAGGGTATATTTTCTCCTTATTACAATTGACAATAATATATCAAAAATTCACAACGTGATTCTCGTGTTGCCAAGAATTCACCAAAAGAGGAAGGGATCCAAACCAAACACACAAAATTTGTTAGAGACATTATCCGTGAAGTCGTAGGACATGCTCCATATGAAAAGAGAGCCATGGGATTGTTAAATAGTACATTAAAATTGTTAACGGCAGTCATAAAAGATAAAATCGAGGAAAAAGCGAGCATGGTAGATGACCAACAAGGCTTCCGGAAGAACCGCAGCACAAAAGACAAATAATAGAGAAGTCTATTGAATATGGAAAACCAGCATAGATGTGCTTTGCAGATTTAAAAAGTGCTTTTGACAGGGTGAAGCAAAATGACATCTTAAATTTATTACAAGCTGAACAAATAGATCATCAGATAATAATGAAATTAACAATAACAACAAGACCAGAGTTATAATGCCAAGAGGAGAAACATAATGCATATAACTAAAAGAAGGAATCCGCCAAGGAGACTAGCTCAACCCATTGTTATTCAATATGGTGATGAATCAAATAATTCACGAAGTAAGAAAATGACACGGATACCACTTGGGAACGCATAAAATCACGATACTATGCTATGCCGATGATGCCTCGTAATTGCTGATAACGAAGATGACCTACAAAGGCAGCTCCACACCTTCAATATCACAGCAAACAAACTTAATATGAGAATATCAGTAGAAAAAACTAAATGTATAGTGATCAGTAAACAGCCGGGTAGATGCAAACTAGAAATAGACGGCAAAATTGTAGAACAAGTAATGAAATTTAATTACCTAGGAGTAAGATCACTAGTGACAGGGATATAAGAACAGAGACCACAAGTCACGCATCAAAAGCAGCAAGAGTAAGTGGTTGCCTCCGAGAAACCATATGGAGAAACAAATATCTGACCATGGAAAGCAAAATGAAAGTATACGAGACCGAAGTAAGACCAATCTTAACATATGCAGCGGACACAAGGATCGATATAAGAAAGACGAAACAACAAATCAACAATATCGAAATGAAAGTATTAAGATCAATAGCAGGCATATCATTAAGACATTAAGAGACAGACAAACCAACAGAAGTATACGCGAATAAGGCAAAATTAAAAATATTAACAGCTCGTTAAAAACAAAAAAAAACTGGAACGAACATGTAAACCGAATTGGACCAGATAGGTTAGCGAACATCTGTAAAAACAACAAGCCATATAGCAGAAGACCCGTTGGAATGCCGCCAAAACAACGATTGAAACAACGATTGAAACAGAATAAGAGGCAGACAATCAGGAGTAATTATAGTCGCACGAAGAAGAAGAAGAAGAAGGAATTGTTAAAGGTTTCAAAGGATAAGAGGGCCCAAATGCGTAAACAACAAGCTATACATAAATAGATTGTATTTTGTTTAATTAATCAATAAAAAAGAAAAAAAAACTTAAAAAACAAAATAATATAACATTTTTATTTAATATTTTAAAATTATAATTTTTATTTTGGACGTCACCTGTCAGACAAAATATTATAGGGTTTCTTTTTTATGACAACATAATCCTATATTAAAAATTATGTTGTACACTCATTGAACTAAGTTCACTAGACAGTTTCAGTATTATTCTTAGTTTAACCTTCATTAATCTACCTGTAGATTTATTTACAGACTTATTTTCTTACCTGCATGGGGTAAATGATGAGGGTAAGGTTGTAAAGTAGGGGGTATGTGGTACTGCACCACTTGCATTACAGGATAGCCGTGCATTTTGTTTAATTCGCATAACCGTTCACAAGAACATAACTCCGCGTAACCTAAGACGTAAGGTGCACACTATTATTGTCGCTTTTGCTATGGTATCACAAACACGATAACACCACATTTTATTATTTTTAACAAAATTGCCCCAAAAAAAGATGAGCTGCGGATCTTGTCAGCTTTTTACAGAAGCTGCGAATCTTATATGAATTTTGATTTTGGAGGGACATCAATTCCTTGTTCAGGACAGGACTCGCATTCTAGCGTCGCTCTTCGCGTTGACACATACTATTCAATAATAATTCTCAAATCAATATTTAATTTTGACGATCTATTAAGACACTGCCTAATTTTATATAATACATACAATATTTTCTTCTCTTACAGCTAGATATTTTATTATTAATGCAATGATCCATTTTGATCCACTTAAGGAAATTATATTTTTAGAAAGCCAGGTTTCTACAGTCTCTGCCTCTTATCACATTTCTACTGCCATCGTTTTCTGTCCATCCATTCGTCTTCTTTGATGGCTCTATCTCTCATTATATGCCGTACATTTTCTTCCCGGGAACTGATGACCTTCTCCTTCTAATTCTTTATTGTGATATGTAATTTAAAGCTTCTTTTGACCATCTATCTTCATTCATTCGCTTCACGTGGCCATACAACACTAGTTGTTTCGTTTCAATTCTCTCTACACTGGAACATACAGTATTTGTCCTCCTTCTATAGTGTATTTTTATGTATGAGAGAGTAATAAAACAATAAATTATGTATGCAAATCCCTAAACTGTTGATACGGGTGACTCAATGAAAAACAGATATTTGTCAACAAGTTTACAGAAGTATATAGGAAAACAATTTTAAATTGAGTATGACCACCAGGTGTAAAGGTTGGAGCAGAATAGAATACAATAGTTGTGAGGGTTACTAATCCCTAAATAAGGTTGCCAGCGTCGGAGTGATGGAGGTTAACAGGTACTAATGAATTTGCAAG